TGAGTTAAGCTACGAAAATGGGAGGTGTGAACAATAGTGATGCATGCTGAAAATAAAAGAAAATGGAGATTTTAAGGAGCTTACGTTTGGTGACATTCGTTCTATTAGAATCGCCATTCTGCATTGCTTTGTTCCTGCTTCAATCAAAGAAAAATTAGTGAGGTTTCAAAGTGGTGGTTGGTTTTGTGGCCTTGATGCCTTGAGTAGTTTGATTCACAGCCACTGCTGTCGAAGAACCGATTCTTTCAACGTGGTACCAAGATGCTCGGCTGCTTTGTATCATTTTCTGGAGACCTTGGCTTTCCAATGTTGCCCCCAACTGTTTCATACCCAGATGTCCATGGTACCGCTACTCTTGTCTCTAAGGCAAGGCTATTTTTCTTTAAAATCAAGCTCAGTTGTCTTGCACCCAGTATCAATTTGTGTCCGTAGTGCTTATCAACTTTTGTCATGAAGCAGGTCTTGCTTAGGGGACCTTTTCAGTTTCTTTGAGACACTTTGTTCGCCTTATCAAATGAGATAACAGATGAATTTGTGCCTTCGTCAATGCCATATATGCCCCAAATTGTGCTCAATATTACGGGGAAACTGTAGCCAATTTTGCAGCCCTTTCTTTGCTTCGATTTTGATGCAGAATTAGATCGGAAGGACTCAAAGAAAAATTATGGGTAAAAACAGAATAATAATTGGAAGCGAAAAAGAACTGTGCTTAAACAAAAGGTATCCCTTTCGGGAAAAGGAATAGGGAGACTTATCTGGAGGTATGCGCCGACTTCAATGAATCATGACATGCATCTTGGACTGGACGACTGACCCGTCTAAGTTGTCTTATTCTCAAAATCTGCCGCAAATGTTCATNAGTCCTAAGTCCTCGTACGCGCAACTCGCTCCTGCAAAATATGAAATTCCCAATTAGAGCCAATTTATTATCATTTAACTATCCTACAACAGTGAAACATAGTCAAGCTGGGGCATAAACAATCGCCAAAGTACATGAATCTAGCCTATTATCACTCATTCAATCGACCTATGATGAGATGATAAGATAGTTTGAGTACAAAGATTCTTCAATTCGTTCATATGAAAACATTTTGAAAAGGAAACTTTTAATCACACAAATTGATGGCAAAATATACAATTATCATGCACTGCTTGTTATTACACAGATTGTGGTCACAAGCAACATATTCACGACGTCCATAAGACATTAGACACCTTAATTAATTTGTCGTTTCAGCTCAAAGCAAATCACGTAGAAAAAAGACTAATGGCGTCTAACTTGTGGACCCACATCACTTTTGCAAAAGCTGACGTGTCTGCAATTAATTGTTCTTCATACAGAATTTTGCTTTTCTGACAGAGAACCACGAGAAGGGAGTCACCTTTACACCAAAAATATACACAAACAGCCATCTTTTTCCTTTTAGAGCCTTGAGTCCTTAGCCAAAAATTAAGCACAGATATTCTCTCCGCCTCAATTTACGTGAGATAGTTTGACTCGATACGGAATTTAAAAAAAAAAGTTTGAAACTTTTGATCTTAAAAGCTTAAGTAGTAAAAGCTTTGTGGGATCATAATATTTGTGTGGTTATAAAAGCTTCACATTAAGGGTAAAATGAGTAAAAATGAAGTAGTTTAAAGTTAAATATTTCAAATATAAAAATGTGTTATTTATTTTAGAAGAGACGAAAAAAAAATAGCTTATCTAATTTGAAAAGGAGGTAGTAACATCTTCCGTCTTATCTTTTGACAACATATTGGGTGGAGTTCAAAATCATTGTTTACTGGGGAAAAAAACATGAGGGAAGAAACAAAAAGGAAGAGAAAAAACAGCCAAACAGTAGAATTGGAATAGCTTTTGGAGAAAGTTAAGCAAAAAGTAGAGGAGTTCAGACTCATTGTCTACTAAGAAACCAACGGAGCCTTCACTACAAGACAAAAACACAGAGGAAAGACACTTTGTGCAGAAATACAAAACTTGTGGCACATCATTTCTGCCCAATTTTCACAGCAAACTTTCAGCTTTTACAGTTTATCCCACTTCCCCTTTACAAACGGCAAATCCTCCTCTTCCCTTGGCCCATGTTGCACAACTATCTTCACATTTTTATTAACACTTATATTCGTCTTTCTTTATCATC